ACCACATGGTCTCCTTACATACACCTCCCTCAGCCACGCTTTCATCATCTCCTCATCGATCCAGCCCTTTTCATTTGCCTTAATAACGACTCCAGCTGGAAAAGTCTCTTTAGGAAAAGTCTTTGTCTTAAAAATCACCATAGGCGACAGTTTCTGTCTATTTGCGGGCACCCAATCCACGCCCACACTTCCCCCTTTAACGTTCTCATGGCGGCCTCAACAACGTCTGCAGTAACAACACACATAGGGTGCGCCGCACATTTTGAGGGAAAAAAAAGACGTTTATATGCGCCTTATAGTCGCGAAAATACGGTACAAATTTTTTTTTTTCTGGAAAACTGAAGAACTACAAGAACTACAAAACAAAAAAAAAGTTTTTTGTTAATGCTGCCGTTTCTTTGCTAATATTCTATGTAAGGCCTGAATGATGGTGAGATTAAAGTGCACACAGCTTTTGTTTTCTTAATAGCTCTTTGCCAAAGACATTTAGTTGCAAAGGTTCTCATTTAGGGATATCAGAGATGTGTTTAAACTGTAAAACTTTTCAGATAAACTAATGTTCCTCATGCTGTGGATTAATGCTGGTATACCAGGTCAAATGGTTAACCTAAAGTATGATTGAACTCATGACTGCAGTGCAATTCGTCCAAGTTGTGCATTTAAGGAAGCAAAGAAGGTTGACCTTTAAACAGAAGAACGATTTGATCAATAATAATCTGTTTGTAGAAGACACTGGGTTATATCTGTTGAATGGAGTGTTCAAGTGATCTTTCATCAAAATTAGAAAAGGTCAAATAACCATGATATATTTATTATGAATTTTTCTGGACCAAATGAGGGCTCTAAGAAGAACCTCAAAAAACATCACATAGAATTTGCAGTAGCTCTTACAAAGGCCTTTAAAATGAAAGGATTTAGATATGAATCTAGTTGAAAACTTAACCTGTATTGTTTTAGTGCATAATGTTTTAGTTCATTAGGCTGTTTTTAAAGCAGATGTTATACTATAATTTTTTTTACTTTTTTTCTAAGTTCTAATATTCCAGATTTGTGAGCTAATCGAATCTAAATATGTTTAGTTTTCTGGCAAAGGGGAGAACGGGACCTGAGATATTTTGGCAATGGTCAAGTACATTGCATCCAGTTTAGAATACAAAAAAAAATTGTCTTTGAAAAAAACTAAAAGCTCATGGAAAAAATAAAAACAAAAGTATTACATGGTCTACTTGCTTCTGCTTGAAATAGAGAAGATCAGTCATTTTCACCGCTGATAGCTATGCTTCAATATAGAATAGAATATTAAAGAATAGAAAATCCCTTTATTGATTGATCCAGAATGGGGAAATTCTGGTTTTACAGCAGCAAAAAGATTATAGTAAAACTGGTCACACAAATGTGTAATTACCGTGCACCTGGAGAATAAATGACCAATATACAGCTGTGGACATTTTTACAGCAATTGATATTTGAAAATAGCAGCAACATCAGAGAAGTGCAAAATGACAGCAGCATGTTATTTAACTGTCTAAAACAGAAACTGTGCAAAAATCAGCATGAATGTAAAAACTTATTTAGGTTGCTGGGAACAGTGGTGGTTATAAATTCCGTTGAACATTTTCTCTTTTTATATTGTTTTAGCTGTGAATTAAAATGCTCAGAATAAAGTGAGCGATAAAATTAGCTATTAAACTCAGATGATCATTAATAATTNAACTTATTGAGGTTGTTGGGAACAGTGGTGGTTATAAAGTCATACAGCTGCTGGGAGGAAGGATCTGTGATAACGCTCCCTGGTGCATTTAGGGCTCAGCTGTCTGTCACTGAAGGAGACAGACTGCTGTTAAGTTAAGGCCCTATTTATATTTATAAAGGACAGACTCCTTTAGTTTCACACCTTGACTACCTATGATTTTTGAGACTTTAATTGAGTATTTTAGTGTGGGACCGCTCTGTTAGTCAGCTGTCCAGGAGTACAAAGCAAAAGGTTGGGGAGAATAAATCACCTTTAACTGCTTAAATAAAGTTTCAACATTTTATCTTAAGGATTTCTCTTCTTTCTGTGCTCCATTTGTGTTGGAAATAAAAGTTATCTTTTAAAAAAGATATCCATCATATCGGCATATTATTTTCCAAATGAATCCAATTCTTAATTCTATCCTTCCTAATGAACATTTAGTAATATTCTGGATATCTGAAGTAAACAGAAGCTTTTATTTTGAAGTTAATTATACAAGGATTATAAGGAAGTAGTGATTCCTCCATAATTTACAACATGGCTAAAGGTTAAAGAAAGAAATAAAATTTTTCAAATCGTGCTTTACTTTAGGGATGCTATGAGTTTATGTTAAAAAGGATTTCTTTACATTTTATATTGTGTTAAAACCTCTTTCAGTCATAAGCAAGAATTAGGCTGGTTTTAATTGTATAAAACATCTTAGTAACCACACCAATCACGTTGCTTTACACAATGAAAAAAGTAGAAAATGTAAGAAATGCAGGGGAATAATTAAGGGAAAATAAAGATTTTTCATAAGCATAGAAAATAAATCGATTTGAAAAACCTGTTTTAAAGAGAAACACTTCGACAATAGAAATTCCGTTGAACATTTTCCCTTTTTTATATTGTTTTAGCTGTGAATTAAAATGCTCAGAATAAAGTGAGCGATAAAATTAGCTATTAAACTCAGATGATCATTAATAATTGTATTAAAGTTGAAGGTATTCTTTGTCTGATAGGATTTCTCAGTTAATTTGCTTTTGAAAAATTACCAGAATAATAAGAGAACAAATATTTATCCAGACTTGGAAAATCCTATGAACATTTGGCAATCTGTATGGATGATCTGATTGAATTGTCTCTGCAAACAGCCTTGATGTGACATGTGTGGTGAAGTAGTATTAAATTGGTATACAAATAAACAGATTTGAAAATAGAAATATGAATTATGGCACCCCCTTGAAAAAAAAACTGCTTCCTGGTTTGACATAATTATTTTATAAAGAAAATCAAGATTTCAACCTTCACAACTCTGGTTTAACTTTTGGTTGAGCTTCCAAAAGCATAAATGTACCACCTCCATTAACAGTTTACATAAATATGATAAGCATAGGTGTTTCCATCCATTACACCCTTAAGGAAGAAGACTGGCTCTTTGTTCCATAATGGGATGAGCAAATCAATCCGGAAACAATATCTAACAATACTGAAAAGATGCATGAGCTAAAGCTAGAAAGTAGAATTTTTTTAAATATTTGTACACGTTTCAGGGTTTTATCCACCTTTTTTTCCTTTACTGTAATACTTCTTAAAAATGGGACATGTTTATGAAGTTTTTATATTATGTACTTTTCATTATAGCTGTTATGCATCTTTAAAAAAACAAGCTGCTCATATTAAAAATGTCTTGCCGTCCCATCTCTTTCAAGTTCAGCATTAAAATCAATTTGATGTGAAATCAAGCTGATAGATTCACATCCTTTATTGTCTGGGCTGATGAATTAATCATTTTTAAAGGTCTGCCCGTTCGCTCCTGTTTCTGCTGTCTCATTAAAGTATTATTCTCCATTAACCTTTCTCTGTTTGCATTCAAACAGGCTGCATGGGTGCAGTAAGACAAGATTAATGCTGCCCTTTTAAAATGTTTCAGGACACTCCTCTGCATCTTGTAGTAAACAGCAAAATATTTTCAACACATGTGCATCACATCTTTCTGTAAAACATATACGCTCATGCTGTATTTCTGGAACTGAAAAAATATGGGTAAATAAATATAATGCATAACACCTGAAGCACAGAGCATGCTTGAATTATTAATAAAACACAGTGGAAGCTGGAAGGTAGATGTATGTCCTCTGCTGGTGTGTGTGGGAAGAAAAGCCTTTACTGCTCAAGTTATTTTATAGCCATATCATTATTATTTGTTTTATATTGGACCTTTTGCATGTCTGATCCCCACTGGCTGCTGTAATTCAAATGAATGAATCCCACAATGTTTATGTCTGCTGCAGATGGCATGGAAAGAAAGAGGAAAAGGAGGCTGTCAAAAGCCAGTATAATGTAAAGCAAAGATCAAGGATCAGGCCAGGTGCATAGCTTCATTATAAAAACGAGATGAATACTTTTAGTGTACTTGGTTTCTGGTTGCACACCTGTGCAGAAACCCTTCGGAGTAAGAAAAAGCAGAGCAGTAGGTCCATTAAAAATGATCCTCTACTGAAAATAAAATCGGGAATTTACAGGCTAATTTCCTTTATTGTTTTTATGCTTCTCCAGCTGTAAGTATACTGCTTTTAAAACCCCAAAACAGCCTCCAAACAAGTAATGATGCCAATCAAAATGAAGAGCGTAACGTTTTTCCTTTTTACACAGACTGACTTCCAGTTGAAGCTATGAGTTATTTACTTATAGGATCTTGTGGGTGCAGACAGAATACAGTGCAGTACCTTAAACCCAAGCTACACATAAAGAATTGGATTTGAGGATATGTACCGCTGAAGTTCTTCTAAAAGAAAAAAATTCTATATAACTTTAGATTCCAGTAAAAATACATTCACTGAAAATTCTAGCTTTTTAAAATTATTTTGTGCAGGTGTTAAATACAGTTTGGACTGTATTTAACTTTTCTACGATCATTTCTACTTTACCTACTTACTGAAATCTTGCAATCCGTGGTGTAAGCTTTTGTGCATCCTTAGTTTTAGAAACTGGTAAAGCTTAACTAATTAAGGTGATAAACACAACAGTGAAAGGACTAACTACTATATTATCCATCTGTGGTGTTGTTTAAGTTGTAATAACATAATAATTAATGCATCTAACTTCAGTAACGTCAATAAAATGCTGGTCCAGTTACTTACACTTTTTAACTTTTTTTGCGTTTTTGCACAACTAAACCAACCAGTCTTGTTTTTACCCTCCTTATCTTGTTGATGGTGTCTTGTTTTTACTGCAGGCCTCTGTTTATATGTGTGTTTAATTTTTTTTGTGTGTTTTTCTATAGAGCCTTGATAGGAACGTTGTGGTGCGAAGCCACGCACGGGTATCCTCCCTCACCCTGAAGAATGTCCAGTACACGGATGCTGGTCATTATCTTTGCGTTGCCAGCAACTCAATTGGTGAAGACAACCAGGAAGTGTTCCTCGAAGTGCGCTGTAAGTCACACAACTTGGTCTCTGCCTTTTAGCTCATATATGGACAAAAAGATAGTTCAGGACTTATTTTATGTGATTGTTTTTAGTTGTTTTACATGTTCTCTCATGCCGCAACACCTACCCCAATCCATGTTTTAAATATAAATATATATATATATATATATATATATATATATATATATATATATATATATGTCACAGCTCTTCTGTTAGCCATCCCGTCATGCACTGATCGGATGCCAGACAGTTGGGTTTAAAAAAAAAAGATTTACTGTAAAGAATGGGAGAGAAAAACAAATACTCTGGTTAGCCTCCCCTCTGGTTCACCAACAGCTGTAATGCAATAAAAAGTCCAGTAATCCCTCGGATACCCAACTTCAACTCTACAAAGAAGATGGCCAGACCGGAGCACTCACCACAGCTGGGGGCCAAACAGCTTCTGTGGAATTGTCAGCTGTTCCCCAGTATTTATAGGCCAACCAGTAGGGGGCGCCACAAACCACTCATTACAAATAATTATAAAACATATTTTAGTAGGATTTAATGTACATCTTCTAAAACCCGTTATACATATATATATATATATATTAAGGGTGGAACGGTTCACAAAATCCACGGTTCGGTTCGGTTCACGGTTTCCGGTTCGGTATATGTTGATTGTTAGCATGACATGTTGGTCGTGTTGCTGTTAGCATAAACAAAACGTGTTGCACAATACTTGCACACTGTTGCACTTTTATCCACAACTTTCTTTCCGCCGTCATCGTAGGTCACTCTAAATGCAAAGCGGTCCCATACAGCAGACCTATAAAGTGCTGCTGGCGCGTCTTCCA